AGCAACCAAACGAGCATGCAATTTAATTGTTTCGCTAGTAGGCGTAAAGACTACCGGCACATACCGATTTTTAACATGGTTTAAGGTTTGACTTCAAGGTCGGATGAGCTTCAAAGGGAGATGGACTCAATTCTTAGTTCACGCAAGCAGAGTTCAGGCAAGCAAACGCATTCATATTCGACATAGCAACAGAGAGAGCCGATATCGGGCGTATTTCCTTGGTTAAATAAAAATTTGCGAAAATTGAATTGCGAGAATTTTCACTGAAACTACCAAAGTGCGAGTTTGCGAAATGCGAGTGCGATTGGCTTGGCTGAAACGAAAAACGGAGCAGATCGAAGCGTTAGCAGTTTCAAGAACAGTAACGCAGCTTAAATCGCTCTTGCTCTCAATACAATTACAAGTAGTACACGATAATCTAGCTTCAATACCGTATTGTCTATTGCTTCCAAAAATTCTAGCAAATTGTTTCCCGCAAAAAATCCAAGTCAAAGAGATATGTCTATTATTTCACGTGATTGTAAAGTACCCTAGAAAACCACATCACTATCTGACTTACTTAATCGGGACTTTATTGCTTCTGACATACCAGTGCAGTGAACATCAATTTGTTTAAAAAAGAAGAAGTCTTACTAAAGAAGAGAAAACAAATCAGAGAGGGACTGTCCAAAAAAAAACTAGACTTTATACGCCAACGACTTGTCTTTAAGGGACGACTGTATATGGCTGGATAGGCTCCGGTGGAGCACGGGTTTCACCTCTACCATCATGGAAAGCGCGTTATGTTTCAGGCAATTCGGGATGTAATGTACTCCTAAATGTACTGCAGCCTGGTGGCAAATGCGACTTGCGACGTTCTGTCAGAAGTGCACAGATGCGGGTAAGATTTTGCAAGTGTTGTTACCCAAAAAAGAGGTTGGAAAAGTCCCGGAACCAACGGAACCAAACAAGTGTTGGACTTTTGGGGTCCAATAAAGAACTTAAAAGAACAGAAAAGGTACGTACCAGTTGCAACCAATTGTTTCTGGAGATGGCCTTCAGCCGTGGTCACAACAAAAAACTTTTTCGAAGTATTTGTAGCACCAACGGATTCGAGCTCAAGTACTCCCCGGTAGACGGAAGAACGATTGATAATATTAAAAGTTTTGTGCTGACTTTTATTTTTGAAAAGTAACATAAATCTCTTGAACTAATGGTCGACAGGGCTTTGGGTGCGTCACCATTTTCTACGAACGCAACAAGGAAGCAAAAACCCATTAGAAGCGCAGCATGGCAGGGAGGTCAAAACTGTCTTACGAAATCTATCTAAGAAACCGAGTACAAAAAACCCCGATTAGAAAAAAAAGGTCATAAATCAAGAAGAATTATGCTTAGACGAAATTAATCCTGGGCTCTAGAAGGTCCCATACCCTCAGCACTCCAATTGGGAGAAACTATTAGACCTAAAATACGCTTCAGTTTTGATGTAATCGCCAGTTAGGGTGACCAGTGACCAACATGTCTATTCGGAACATGGGAGGGCGCCATGATGATCAAATACTCTGAGAGAATGAGGACAAAGTGAACGTCGTCCAGAGGGAAAAAAACACTCAACCAGCATTGATTGTTCAAATCAAACAAGTCTCTGAATCGAAACCTTCTTCAAAATTGAAACTTGAGCCTAAACTTACGAACAGCACCGTAGTGGCGACGAAACCAAAATCACCAGTATCATCGATGATGCGAACGGGGCAACATCATCCGAATTACTAGAAAAATGGCAAAAAAAAGACTAAAAAAATGCTCAAAAACTGGCACAACGAGAAGCCCAAAATTGAAGAGCAAAAGAAGATTCAGCCACCAAAGCAAACACAATTAACGAGCCATCGGACTATTCAGATAGCGAGGATAGCTGACCATTGGAATCGATACCATTTCGTCTAACAGCAGAACTTGCTACACGAGCGGAAGCGGTAGTATCCGGCCAAGGGACGAGCGAGGTGAAGGCGAGCAAAGGTAGCAAGGCAAGGATTAAGAAGGCAAAGAATATCCGCCTAACCGCTATCGTTAGTTTAAAAAGTGTATCTTTCAAATAGCAGCCAAGAGGAGGGGGAATCGGAAACGCAAATCGACAGCTCTGAGAACAGGAGAAGCACAAGACATTGAAAGCCAGTCAAAAAACTAGGATTCACGGTCAACTGGATTACAAAAGAGAATCCAAGGTGCGGGGAGAAAAAGAAAAATTTAAGGGGGATTAAAACTGGTTTCGAAAACTCATTAGTTCAGGGAGAGGGATGGCGATAAGCCTTCCACTCAAAACAGTACCAAGGCGTGGCTAATCCAAAATTTTTAGTTTAATTTTTTTGTATTCAAGTTTTACTTCCATAGGTAAATGTGAGGGTCACTTGTTGGTTATCAATCATTTTAAATGATCTTCTATTTGTGAGAGTTTGATTTATCGCTGTAAACTTTTAGCCTGTATCTGCCAACCTGTCAATCTGTATCTGTTTCTCTCTGGCGTTTCCTGGCCTCAATATGAGATTCCGGATTTTTCACTAGGAAATACAAATGATTAAAGACTCAGACGATATCATTTTACTGTCTCTTGTTAAGCTACATGACAAAAGATCGCTAACGTTAAGATCGCAAACGAGAAGATGCCAGCTAAAAAGATAGCAGTCCAAAACATACTTCATTATAAAATCGCCCATGACATCAGATACCATAACAAATTGACAAAGGAGAAAAACTCAAGGATTCGAAAAGAAAGGCGGTTAATCAATCAAAATAAAAACAAAGCATTGGTTAAAAATAAAAAAAGACAACATTGTCGCTGCACAAATTTTGAACCTAAATGACCTTGGGCTCTGAGAACAGGAGAAGCACAAGACAATGAAAGCCAGTCGAAAAACTAGGAGTCACGGTCAACTGGATTACAAAAGAGAATCCAAGGTGCGGGGAGAAAAAGAAAAGTTTAAGGGGAATAAAACTGGTTTCGAAAACTCATTAGTTCAGGGAGAGGGATGGCGATAAGCCTTCCACTCAAAACAGTACCAAGGCGTGGCTAATCCAATATTTTTAGTTTAACTTTTTTTGTATTCAAGTTTTACTACCATAGGTAAATGTGAGGGTCACTTGTTGGTTATCAATCATTTTAAATGATCTTCTATTTGTGAGAGTTTGATTGATCGCTGTAAATTTTTAGCCTGTACCTGCCAACCTGTCAATCTGTATCTGTTTCTCGCTGGCGTATCCTGGCCTCAATATGAGATTCCGGATTTTTTACTAGGAAATACAAATGATTAAAGACTCAGACGATCTCATTTTACTGTCTCTTGTTAAGCTACATGACAAAAGATCGCTAACGTTAAAATCGCAAACGAGAAGATGCCAGCTCAAAAGATAGCAGTCCAAAACATACTTCATTATAAAATCGCCCATGACATCAGATACCATAACAAATTGACAAAGGAGAAAAACTCAAGGATTCGAAAAGAAAGGCGGTTAATCAATCAAAATAAAAACAAAGCATTGGTTAAAATCAAAAAAAAGACAACGTTGTCGCTGCACAAATTTTGAACCTAAATGACCCTGGGCTAGAAGACTTGGACTTCAGTTTAAAACTAAACTTCAGAACCACTTTTGTCAAAAATGGCAACAATTTTCAGACAAATCAAGTCGGTACAAAATAGAAAAAAGCATTGCAAAATTTTAATGCTCTAAAATCATTGTTATTGCAAATCAATAACCGATATTTTTTCTAAAGTTATCAATTATCAATTTGATCAATTTTTTGTTCGCTAAAAGCAATACTTAAAAGATCGACTGACCTCGATCCCCACCGTATTGTCCCGTAATTAAGAGCAAATGTTCCACGATTAAATAGCTAGAGAGAGCATTTTTGCAAGCCGTTCGCAGTTTTGCGTTTCGACGTACGGAGGAAAGGAGACGTCTATAAAAACGTGTCAAACAAACTTAATTTCAAGACAAAATAGGCAGAAACTAAAACAATTGTTATTTAAAAAAATACTATTTGTTTTTTGAGCAGTCCGTTAGTCCCATTTTGCTGAAAACCGTATCCTCCAAAACGAATGATGTAAGAAACTTAACACCGATTCACTTGTATTTGATAACCGCGCTAGTAATTTTTTGTTTGTAAACTTCGAATATAACCTAACTCGTTATTGACGCTATAGCAAGAGCCGCCCTTCTGCAATCGCTCACCGGCAAGTTAAAAAGCTGGTCACTAAACGCGGAGTCATTATGCTTCTTCTAGGTCGGAAGATAATGGAAAATTTTTCTCGAGCTAATAAATGTTCGTTCTCTTTCTAAAATGCAATATCTCATAAATTCAAAAAGATATTAAATCATATATGTTGAGCTTTTCAAAGAAATCAGTTCTAGTTGTGATGAGATATTGCACAATTTAATTATCATTTTTGTCTCTAGTTCTGCAAATTTTTCAACTTGAGTTTATAATTTCTGCTTCCGAGCATATCAAAGCTAAAAACTATTTTGGAGTCGTATATGTCACAGCTTTGATCAAAAACGTCAAAACTTGTTTGGTGTGTTGCTTTCAAATCGCTATGAGAAAGTTCGTTTAATTTTATGTTGCAACTTTAAACTTGACTTTCCCCTTTCCGCTGCTCATCTATAAAAAATTCTCATTTATAAAAAAATTAGGTTTGCTAAAGTTATTATGACTTTACATAACGATATGACATTTTGCATGGTAAAATAATTTGCTAGTTTTAAAGATTCTTCTGTAAACTTTAAAATGAATTTTCACACATTTACAACATTGGTATAAAAATTTTTTTGAACATAAGATTTATATTATGGCTCGATATACTTTTGAAAATATCGATTATTCGAGAACTGATGATGCGAGTACGTGTTACGAAAAAAGTTACAAACGACTGCATGCAAAATCAATTTAACATGCAAAGACAGAGTTGATCACCAGATATTAGCTTATCTTAGTCTCAACTCGATTTATCACACCCTCTAGTTTGTCATATTTATCAAAAAATGAGCGTGCAAAATTCCTTTTCAGAACAACAGATTGTACTTTCATTGGTATTTGAGCATAAGTTTCAAAAATAAAAACATATTGATAATTTGTTCAAATCTCAGGCAATCAACCAAATACACATTGGTCATTCGAGATCTGATGATGCGAGTACATGTTACGAAAAAAGTTACAAACGACTGCGTACAAAATCAATTTAACATGCAAAGACCAAGTTGATCACCAGATATTAGCTTAGCTTAGTCTCAACTCGATTTATCACACCCTCTAGTTTGTTATGTTTATCAAAAAATGAGCGTGCAAAATTCCTTTTCAGAACAACAGATTGTACTTTCATTGGTATTTGAGCATAAGTTTCAAAAATAAAAACACATTGATAATTTGTTCAAATCTCAGGCAATCACCCAAATATACATATTTTCAACTGTTGATTTTAATTTTCTGATTTAGTTGAGAAAATGAAATAACTTTTTGTATCATTAATGCTTAAATTCAAATTCTTTACGCTTATGCTCACAAAAACAAATACTTTATCTATGAACCCCATTAACTTTGAAGCCCCAAATTCTTGATTGTGAAAATTGTATTGAAATTTTTTGCTTCTAAAAACTCGAGAAGCCATTTTTTATCTTCTTATCAATCCAGTTTTGTTCAAATCGTTCTCTTCTCATGTTTAACCATTTCCTTCGATAAAGGTGAGTACGGATAAAAGGTTTTCGCAAAAGATAATGTAGATGGCATGAAACATAAGTGTGCATATTTAGTAGCCAACAGGAGCCAAAATTTAACAAGCTCCAGAGCGCCATTACCCGAAAGCACGATAAGTCCAATTAAATTTTCGTGCCGATTCTTGAGTAAGTATTCGGAAATTAGTAATGATGGTTAATTATGGCTAATTTTATATTATACGACGATTGAGATGGTGCAGCGCTACAAAACTGCCCATTTAATGCGAATTTTCAAGAGATTCGACCGTTTCTTTACAGTGTTTGAATCATTTCTGGTTTTGATTTTCGGTACAGATTTTTTAAAAACGCAAACGAATTGATCTAAAAAAAGCAATCCTCAAAACTTTCAAACATTTTTTCGACTTTTTTTAGGTTGACTAAATAGAATTTTCGAGCTTTTCCAAAGCCCTAAAAAGATCTTATTTTGGCCAAATATTCTGCGCCGCAGGCAAAATTTGGAAAAAACAGGCCAAAAAGGCGTTCTTAGGTACTTTTTGGAAAATTTTGACCGTAAATCGCGTTTTTCGGCGCGCGCTTCCCGCTCAAAGTTGGTATATTTAGGCGCCTAGGCGCCTTTAGAAACATTTTAGGGTAAGTCAGCCAAAAATGGATATCAAATTAGTACAGAGGGACCCTTTGGGTCGGCAGGGGGTCGAATCTCCGAGTGGTTTGGGGGGGGGGGGGGGGGTTTAGCCCCCGCCCCTTCCCACTCCTAAATCTGCTGGTGCCCGCAACCCAGAACCCGCAAAAAACTCAAAACCGCGTACCGAAAACAAGTAATATTCTCTAGTGTTTTCTCTGTGTCTTTTATCTTTTATTGCTCCATTTAAAAAAATATGAGGAATATTCGAGCTCAGGTTATTTTTCCTTTTCAGCCAATTTTCGATCTTTAAAATATCAATATTTGATGGAATGTTTTCACTATCCTCTGTATTCATCATGGGCCCAGCAAAAAAAAGTATTCATCATGGGCCCAGCAAAAAAATATTTGAACTGTAATCATTTTCACAAAGATATTTGGGACTAACTTGCCAACTTTAGTTCAATTTGGGGGAGAAATAACGGATCAAGTTAACATCCTCCCCCCCCCCCCCAAATTGACCAAGTTAAGACCCTCCACCCCAGCGCTGATTTTAAAATAAATTTTATAAGCGATGCAAGTAAAATGCTCGATTCTGATTGGCTAAAATTTCCCAACTTAGAACCAAATTAACAACCTGTCTCAGCCGATTAAGCGTCAGCTGCAAACTAAATTGGATCTACTTAACAATTACCCATTTCAATTTCAAGAAAGAGGGGGGATAATTGTTAATTGGATTAAGTTACTATTTTGGGTCCCCCTTTGTACTAATTTGGGATATCCATCCATTTTTGATTGACTGACCCTAAAATTTTTCCAAAAGCGCCTAGGCTCCAAAATATGCCAATTTTTAGGGGGGAGCTCGCAACAAAAAAAAAACAAGTTGTTGGCCTGTTTTTTCAAAAATTTGCCTGCAGCGCAGAAGATTTTGTCTAAATAGGGAATTTCTGATGGTTTTGGAGAGCTCGGAAAATCAAATTTTTCAAAAACAAGTTTTTGAAAATCCCCCCGCATCGAGAAAATCCTGTATCCGCCCTTGATAGGAGTGGAAATTCTTCACTAGATGCCATAGGAGGGATGGGGTGATTGTTAAGTAGATCCACTAAATCATTCGAAAGATATTTGGCAAAAAATTATATATTTGTTACGTAACGCCTAAGATAAGGCATTCTTTGAATATGTATGTATAGCCCGATTAAAAAAGAGAACTGAAACAATTCAAAGTCGTGCATTTTAAAGCGTGGAAATATAGAAATACATGCTTTTTGGACGTTAGTTTTTTCATGGAACGCAAGTATTATATTCAATGAAACTCTATAAGCCTCGATAACTTTTTTTGACAAAGTTTCAATCAATTTAATACATACAGTTTTTGAGATGGCAAACAAATATAAAAGTTTCATAACCCTAGTTGAAATACCGCTCAAAAATCGCTCAAGTTTAAGCGGTTCGATTTTTTTCTAGACAATTGCGCTTTATCCGCATAAAACCTTTTCAAAACCGCTCAAATCCCAGCATTTTATCCTGAAAATTTTCTCACGATGTAATCGTTTCAATGCACACAGAATCGAGCCTTTAAGAGTCTGAACTTCCAACAGTCCTTAATACCAAAATATAAGCCAAAAAACAACCTTAAATGTTCTAGGGCCCAAAAAGCAGTCGTAAGGGTTAGTTACGTGTCCGAGAAAGTCAAATCAAAAACTGCTCAATATTTTTTCAAAAATCCGATAATAGTAAATCAAAAATGTGATGTTTGTTTAGCGCCTTTTCCGAACTCTACCGCGAAATCTGACCCTTTGCAAACTTCAAATCAAACTCATCTTTGTTCTCACACCCCCATCACAGAAAGAGGTATCGCTCAACAACTATGGCAACATATAGACGTATGCCTCTATTCGGCGTGGACGATGATGTTTCTGTTGAATGTCCGGGATGCGTTAAAACCTTCCATTACACAGAAGATACCTTTGAAATCCCATGCGGACATTGTCTTTGTAAGAGTTGTGCTATGGACCTTGCCTCAAAGACAGTGCAGCAATGTCCAAATAAGGAATGCAAAAGCCACAAAGTGTCACCCAGGCGACTTCTTAAACTAAAATTTGAGGATTTCCCTAGCAGACCTGCATCTGCTTTGGACAGAAACTCGATTGTCTTGCCACCCCCAGAACAAGGTTTGTTAATTTAAAAAACAACTAAATTGCGTCTTGCTATCTCTGAATATCAGTTTTAACGAAGACAATCTTTAGCAGCTGCGCGATAGAAGCAAAGCAAAATTCGAATTGAAAGGCTTGAAAGAAAAATCGATAAAAAATCTGAAAATGTATTGGTTGAATAAAGTGCAAAGTTTGGTGGGTAGTAGTATTGCTTTGCCGAGAGAAAGCTTGACCCTGAAAACACTTGGCAAGTAATTGTTCCGACTTTTACAAAATGCAGGCGTGGCAAAATATTGATTTCAGCTGTTTATTCGTTTTTTTTATACGAACACAAAAATTTTGTAAGAAGAATAAAAACATTACGAGGTCGAAATGTGCATTCTGCGCATTGCAAGCGGATTCCGCAACTGGCCAAAATCAGATTTTCGTTAGTCTTCTTTGCTCTTTTGGATTCCACAAACAAATATCTAAAAGACTGTACCGCGCAAAATTGCAGTAAAAATAGACCGGAATCCGAAATCGTTTTTGCGGAAACAGAACCTTTTGTGGAATCCACAAATAAATAAAAAGATATGTTTATAATCAAATAAAGCTGCTGCGGAACCCGCAAATTGTTACTGTATTCCGCAAATTGTAAGTTGAAACCGCATTTTGTTTGCGGATTCCGTTTACAAATATGTACTTATGTAGTAGCGTTTAAAGTTATATCTTTTAATTACTAGGTGGTCACTAGCAAGTTCAATCTTAATGACTAAAATACTAAGTTCATCAGCTACCTGTTGAAATGCCTCCTGTTCGATCTCAATTTCTGTCAAACACCCAGCTTCAAAATATGGGATTGATGGAATCCCAAATACTGACCAGTATTTGGGATCGATGGAACCCCAAATATTTACCTAACTCGGTGATATGCTGTGCATTGTGTTTCTATACACTCTCAAACCCACTGACAACAAATAATGAATTTATTCCATATTTGTTCCATATTATTCCAAAATTTGGGAATCCATCAATCCCAAATACTGAGCAGTATTTGGGATCGATGAAATCTCAAAAAATGACATAAATAAGCGATATAATTTGGGGTGTACTTTAAACACTCTCAACTTGATATATTTTATGCGTTTTTTTTAAAACTCGCAATCCAATGTCTCTAAATAATGAATTTATTCGATGTTGTGTTTCCAAAACTGTGATCTCAAAAAGTGTTTGCTCGGATATGTATCCCGAACACTAAAAGATCATATCCACCAGTTTAGTTAACAAATGTTATAAGTTTTTTTCGTGGATTCAACTGACAATGGTTAAGTCCTTGCTTTTAAATTCCTCATTGATAAGGTAAGAGTTCCAGCTCTAGTTTTAATTATTCAAATGCAAGTTCAGTAATAAACAATATTCGGAATACACTTACAGTTTGCAAATTCCCTTTTTCATTTGCCGATTTTACTTACTTTTTGCGGAATCCACTCACAGTTGCAGAATCCAAAACAACTAGCTATATTCGCTTGTTGCGGATTCCGCGACACAACAAATGTGCCGACAAAATTTAGGTTACAGTTATTTATACGCAGAATCCACGGAAAATTTTTTAAATGAAATACACATACGAGATTAGTTTTTGCAATCCGAGAACATACAGACACAAACTTGTGCGTTTATCCAGTGCACAACTTGGTCTTGTAGTGAAAAACAGTTTTTTTTATTATATATTTTTTCAAATACAAAAAGCAATTATTATGTCGAAATTTTTTTTCATACTAAATTTTTCATATATAACTTTGATTGCTTTTTTTGGCCTGTACTTTTAATTTGATTAAAGTAGCAGCTCCTTCAAACTGCTGTCGTGTAATTTTACAAGAAATAGTTCGCAAATTTTCAAGTTAATTTACTAATTTTAAATGTAATTGTTCCGACTATTGAAAATAAGGAGGAACTTTGTATTCGGAGGTGTTTTAGTTTTTTCTTTTATTTTTTGTTTTCGACAGAAAATTAGGTACCACAAATAATCATTTGACTGGGTTGAGGTATTTATTTTTTTAAAGGCTTTTCAGTCCTGATTCAAAACAAGTTAAATTTGATTTTTCGCTCATCTACAATATCTTATTTTTGCTGAATGTAAGCCTGGAAAATTTATTTTCGCTCAATTGAAGTCCATTTTTACAGTTTTTAGCGCCTTTTTAGGTTTCAAAAAGACCAAAAACCTCAAGAAAATTCGATACATTTCAAAATTTTGTTATTGAAAATTAAAAAGTTTTTGCCATTTTTTGGTTTTTCTGGCAACTTTTCAACAAAAACTGTTTCCTCAATTCGCCTGTTTTACTATGACTCTCAAATTTGCTTAATTTATAGTTATTTAATCATATTCCTCTATCGCACTAGGCAGAACAAACGACGCTTAACTGAAAAAAAGAACTGTTTTTTTTTCGTATTTCTTAAGACAATGGTCGGAAAATTCCGTGCTACGTGCACACTAACCGGCAATCCTGGTTTTAATTTTTATTTGTTAATTCATACTTTTATATCTGTTTTCAACCTGTTTTTGAAAAGATCATCAAAATTCTAAAAGCATCAACTTTTCATGAAACTTTCTAAACGTTTGTCGAAAGACGGCTTGAAACAAAAATTCTAGTATTTCGTTCAGATCTTTTTATACAACGCCAAAAAAACGACACTAAATTGAAAAAAAACTTTTTTTTTCGCAAATTTAACGACTACGGTCGGAACAATTTGTGCTACTTGCAGAGTTACCTTGTTTTAGTTTCCACTTGTTATTTCATAGTTTCATATCTATTTTCGATCTGCTTTTTGAAACACAGGCGTAATTTACACGTTTTCAAAAACATAATTCTGCTATGAAGTTTCCAAATGTTTTTTTTTTATCAAAAACCGGTTTTAAACGGCTTTCATTCAACTTTTTTTGCTTTAATCATATCGATGATCAAGCATACTGATGAAACTTTAAAAACTTCGAACACGTTTATCACGACAAAACCAATAAATGAAAAACCTCAATTTCGAAAATAAAAATTCAATTCGATCGGTTCTGAATTTTTCAAACAATTTTTTTAAACGGAAATTTCTGTGATACCTGTGAAGACACCGGTTTTTTTCATTTGTTAGTTTTTTTTACTTTGATGACTTTTAGGCCTTGTTTAATTTACAGAAAACATAGGCCTCTGACTGCAAGATAAAATGTTTTTTTTTTAATTTTAGATTAGCTGTTACAGGCAACTTTTGTTTACATTTAGGAGATTTCTACAAAATTAAAAAGTTTTGGTTTATGCGGAGATAATAAAGTATATCCAGGCCCTACAAACTTAAACACAACTAATTTTTTTGAGAACTTGTGATGTTTTGTAAGAAAAACTGAAGTTTTTTTTCCATTCTCATTCGATTCAACAAGTTCTCAAAAAAATTAGTTGTGTTTAAGTTTGTAGGGCCTGGGTATACTTTATTATCTCCGCATAAACCAAAACTTTTTTGCCAAAAAATTGTGATGTTTTGTAAGAAAAACTGAAGTTTTTTTCCCATTCTCATTCGATTCAACAAGTGTCAAAAATGAAGTCTACGAAAAGAAACAATTTTCGAAAAAAAATACCAGAGTTTGATGAATAGGATAAACTTGATGAAAAGAAAAATTTTTGGAAAAAATACCAGAGAATAGTTTTCTCCTTGTCACTGAAACTTGGCTAGGAAAATCAAATAACAGATAGAAAGTTTCTAAACCTCAAGTTTAATTTTTACCGCACATGCAGCGCAAACTCGACCCGAGGAATGATGTTGAACTTTAGGCCCCAAAAACTGTATCGTCAAAAACAAGGATCGCCTAAACACAAGGAAAAAAATATCTTTGAATCAATGTGTTTAGAAATAAGTCGAACATTTGACACAAAAGTACTTTTGAAAGTTTCATATTGTCCCAAGAACTAACTTCAAAAACATCAGCAGCATTCCAAAAAACAGGTGATTTTTTGCTTTTTGGTGATGTTTATACAGAAGTTTTTTGAGACTTAACCAATTTGAATGATTTGGGGCGAATATTGCAATCGAACTTATCAAGTTTTATACTCCCACCAGATTGGATACATCTTGCTCGCTCATTTTTTGTTGCTTTATGTCACAACAACATTTCCGTAACTTCAACTGCTTTGAATTTACAATTGGCTGTGATCAATTTTTTCTCAATTACGAATCCAACCAAACTATCAGCGATGACAAAAAACAAATTTTTAGTTTTTCAGAAATCGAAAATTTTTTTGAGGTCAAATTTCGAAAAATATTTTGCAAAAACTGACTGGTCTATCATGTACCAGAAAAAGATGCAAATGATTTTAGTTTTTCAGAAATCGAAAACTTTTTTGAGGTCAAACTTCGAAAAATATTTTGCAAATACTGACTGGTCTATCATTTACCAGAAAAAGATACCAGAAAACGAGATCAATTGAATTAAAAACTACAAAAAAATCAACAACCGTGGTAAACAAAATACACTAAGCAGATGATCAATGAAAAACATTGGCTTTTCATCAATTTTTCAACAATTTTCAAAAATGATTGGGCAGATGCAAATCAAATAGTTTATGGGAGAGCAAAGAAACCTTGTAACTAGGCTTTTAAAAAACACTGAGAAAGAAACACTTACCAAAAAAATCAAAATCAAAAATCAGTGAAATTGTTTTAGTTCAGAGATTAAAAAAAGTAATAATCACACAAAAATAAGTTTTCACATTCATTTTTAGACGAAAAAGTAACTTATCAAAATGATTAGGTAAATTCATTAAATCGAGCTTTCGCAGAACTACGAATCCAGCTTTCGAGAAACACAAAAGAGAAATCTTTCAGTGGTCAGGGAAAACCTATCCCTGCTAAATTTAATTCCAATTCGGGTAATTACCTGGAAACACCTATTTCTCTTAATTGATAGTTTACTATCAATTAGTATAAAAGAAACTACTGGGCCTATGAATAAACCATCATGGAGCTTTCGATTTTCAAATTTTATAATAGGTAAACACCTACAATTCGTACAATTGAATGCATCAAGCTAAAAAAAAATTTGGAAAAACGAAAATTTTCATTCTCTATGTTAACGATTGTCTTTTAATTTTGAACGATTCAATTTGCAGATGATACCAGTCTGATTTTGAACCAAAAACTCTCAAAACTAATGCAAGATTACACTTAAAAATTGCTAGACAACCTCGACGCTTACATAAAAAAATCGTCTCTCTTTGAATTTTAATTAATTTTGAAACAAGTGTAGACTCAGTTTTTTTGAAAAATCACGAAATAAAAATTTCATTCTCATGTAGATATCTAGGAATTTTATTGGAACAAGATTCAAACTTTTCATTTCAAGTTATCAGTCTTTCATGCAAAATTGCTCAATGAATTCGTTCACAATATCTTATAAGGAACATAGTACTTTTTAATGTTCGGACTAGTTTATTCAAGTTCTTAGTTTTATCCCAGCTAAGAAAAAGCGCAGTTTTTCTTAAACATTCACAAATTCTACGATTAAACAGAATCATTAAGCTGCTTAATTGGGTATCAAAGTGTGGTTTTTTTGAAGGAAGTTTGATAGAGCGTGCGATCAACCAGTAAAAAACAAAATACCTCCTGCAAAATTGGTGATAGCGAAAATGAGTCTTCTCATTTTTGTTATTGCTTAGAAGACCCGCAAAGTTTTTTGTGTACAAAACACTTAAATTGCTTAAAAACAAAAGGACACTACAGGCAAAACCCCAGAGTTCGTCAAACAGCAAAATGGCAAAGAGTCAGCGTCAAAATGCCTAAAAGATCAGACCTGTCAGATCCTGCAAAAAATTCAAAGAAAAAAAGATATACCTTCTATAGAAACAGGAACCAGTACCAATTGATAGATCACTCGTTTGATTTAGAAAATTTATTTTTTCCCCAAGATTCATAGAAAGTTATGTAAAATAAAAGTAAATAATTGGTTCTACGTGCAGTTCAATTTACATCGTTGGTTGTTTGTTGAAGTAATCACTCCTAGACATGTTTTTCATCCAAGAGGTCAATTCATATTACCTTGTTCTGCTGGAAAAAAATGATTATCGTAAATCAAATGATACTGGTGGTACTACACCGTCATCTTTATTATAATTTTTGTTTTGAACTCCAGAGACGTCTCGAAACCTTCTTGTTTTGTCGAATGACGAACCTCCAGATGGGCTTTTAGGACAACTTGTGGCAAACATCTTTTTGATGCATGTGGTCTAGAAGGGAATGTTTTTCATGCGCAAAATCTCTCGACATTGAAAGCTACAAAAAATGCAAGAAACGGTTTCAAATAAACTGGTTTTGAAATAATTTTTGTTCACATATATTTTTTGAACGCTTTTTTTGCTCTGAAATAAAGTTTCAATTTTGTTGTTGTCTATTTTTTGTAGTCAAATTTTCAGGTGTTTCGACCGTTTATTTTTTTTTCCTGGACAGATTTTTCAAGTTTGGTGTACCTAAACTGTCACTGAGAGACTTTTTAGCGCTACTGTACAACCAAACGATTTAAGGGGAAACAATTAACCAAAAAAGTAGGAAGTTAAAAAAACTGACAAGGCTATTGTTCTCATGACTTGTTTTGAAAACTTTTTTTCATGTTTAGAAAGGCCAAATAGTCCTAGTTCAGTCGCATCCTCGATCCGATCTCATCCTGAGTTCGCCTCGGTCGTTTACTGTGAGAAACACCCAGCTTCCGCAATTCGCTACTTTTGCCACATCTGCGAAGTGGAGCTATGCGAGGAATGTTGGAAGGACGAACACGATGAAGATGACTATCGCAAACATAATATAGGATTCATCAAGGTCAATCTAGAGCCTCAAAAAGAGATCCAAAAACGAATTGTTGAAAACCAGAAAGACTGTCAAAAAATGAGCCGCATTTTGGAGGACTGGAAGGCGATTGTCCGACAAGCTCAGATTGCAGAAAATAAACAAAACGAAGTTTTGAAAGCTAGCACAGCCAATCAGCTTGAGCAGAAATCAGACATTGTTCGCAATCTGATTCAAAATCACATCACGGATGTTCGTAAATTTAAAGAAACTATTTTGAACGAACTTGAAGAACTTGAAAGAAAGCAAAGATGCATCTTTGGGGATGTTTTCGACTCCGATTATGATAGTTTTCTAAATCGCAGCTGCTCTACTCCTGTCGGAACCATTTTTTCTTCTAGAAGCAGTGACAGCATCGAAGGCGATGATAATACATTATCAACTCGTTCCTCGTCCCCTTCAATGCTTGACAGCACCATGACATCAGCAGCGAACCCTGACTTATCCGCAACTGAAGGTGCCAGCCGAGTCGAAAGCTCAGAGGGTAGATCAAAAAGCGCAGTTGGAGGAGGTGGCAATGGACATGTGACTCCAGTTCAACCGAATAGGAATGTGGCTTTGAGGAGAGGAAAAAAGAGAGAGTTGGTGCGAGTTACACACAGTGCGATTGGAGATGAGAAGATTGATTGTCTTAGAGCTGTGTACAATACTGCCACGAAAGAAGTGATTTGTTATAATGGTGTTTACAAATTAACAGTGTTCAGAATAAACAGGCCAAATGGGAAGTTCGAAGTGAGTAAGAGGATGAAGTTGAAATCAGACGCAAATAACTATTTAATGGACATTACACTAGACAGCAATAACTCTCTCTATGGTGTGATTTGGAATAAGAAAACCAGAGTGAATAGAGTGGCAGTGCTGGACATAATGAAGAACAAGGAACTGATCGAGGAGAGAAAACTACTCGACACTAAGAGACTACACAATGGAGGAGATGTATATTGGAGATTGTGTGCTGTAGGCGAGACAGTGGCTGTGGTAGTGGAGCATTGGAGAAGAATTGAGGATGATTACAACAGTGTGACTTTGTATCGCAGTCATATCCGACAACAATATGTACAACTCAATATCAGAGGAATCTTTACTGGTCTCTGTCCTCATCGAAATGTTTTGGTGAATGAGAACACACTGTTACTTGCCTCTGATGATAGAACAATAGCAGTGGTCTCTCTGCCTTCGCAACAAACTACAACAACAACAACATCTGCGCATACTTCTAAATTAACTTCAAACACATCTCAAAAACTGCAGCCCAAATCCATCAAGTACATTGAAATCTGGGGCATAGATTATATTTGGTCATTTTTTTGGATACCATCTGAAGAAAGTGTGCAGTCACATGCTGCGGAAGGGTACTTGTTTGCTACAAATATTGGTGGTTCCTCTTCTTATGTTTACAAAATAAATTTAGAAACAGATATGGCAAAGGTGGCTGAAGGAGAGGAGAGAACAATTGCCCCTATGGAAGGAATAGGTCGACTAAATGACTCATGCATTCAATGTTCCATTGATAGCTCAACACTATTTGCTATTACTAAGGGGATTTCTGGAAAGCCAATGCTTCTGAACTTAGAGTATAAGACACCTTGAGTCTTCCCACTTGTTTGGGCTAAATTAATTTTAACAGAACGATTAAATGACAAATAGAAGATCTTAATGATAAGGCTCACACTTTAAACTGATTCAAAATACATTTTCAGCTCTAACAAAGCCTTAATTATTTCAATCTAATTCAAACTGTTTTCATCTCCCTCTATGGAACAATTTTACTCTTTTTATTTTTATTGATCAAGAACGCAAAAAAAATAGAGAGCTGTACGTTATTATATTTTTTTCAGTAGTTGAATAAAAGATTTCGGAATATAATATTTTTTAAATTTTCAATAGAGTTTGATGGTTTCTTGAAATCAAAATAACCAAAAAAATTTCCGAGATCGAAAGCGTACGTTGTGAACGAAAACAGTTAATCGTATTCGAACAAAATCCTGTGATCAACAGTTTTTGCGTTCAGACAAATATGTCGGCTAATCGAAACAAAATGGTAATTTGGAAAGTAGGATGCCAATGGCCAAGCAGCAATTGTCTTTTCCGGTTCGCTCGGAACTGCTCGTGGATCATGTTCGCATCTAATCTGTAAATCTGAAAGAGCTTAGAACCACGGGGTATTCAGAGACCCAAAATAAGAAATTTTAAAAAAAAAATGGCTCCCCGCACTGACAAAAATGGTTTAACATTGATTTAAATTGATTGTAAATCGATTTTAAATCGATCCAAATCGATTAACAATGTACATTTTACGAGTTTAAATGGATTTTAAATCAATTTAAATCGATTTTTTTGAAAATTTTAAATCGATTTGAGTGTCCAAAAAATTTATTCAAATCGATTTGGATGGTTTTTCAGACCCACTAAAGTCAATTTTTTTGCTAACAAGACAATCTAAGTTTAATCAACGTACTTTTTTCTTAGCAAAATTGATCCTAATCCATTTTTGTCAGTGCGGATCGTCAATAATGAACTTTGAGGGAAATTAAGGAACAACAACAAAAAAAAGAAACTAACATCAATTTCAAGCAAAACTTTCTAGCCGACGACATCTTGTAGCAATCGAAAAGGTCAGAGGAAAATGGAAAAGTTTTGATTTATAGAAACAAAAAATCAAAGAAGCACCACCGACACAGTGAAAAAAATCTGTTTTTAAAATTTATTTTCTGTTAGAGCGAGCCGAGCTGCTACGTTTGTCGCTATTGTTGACTCTCATTTTTTCTCAGTCATGTTTCGGGTACATTTCTTATTTGATCAACTTTCTTCTTCCTTTCAAAGTAAAATTTATTAAGATAATTTGTTTCTTATATGTGCCAGAACTCGACGAGTGTAGTCTGAGACTGAAAGCCTCTTAAAACGTTTGTTCAGAGTTTGTATATACATTTTTAACAAACCAGTCCCCGAGGCACTGGCTAACGAATTCTGCTAACGGCTATTTTGCTTTCCATAATTTAACAATTCCTCAAAAAAATCAAAGGATTGCTGTTATTGTATTGGTCCAACAAAAGTTTCTTATATCGGAATATTGCGTTAACAGGCTTCTTTTCTGATGAACTTATTTCTCAAGGTCATGTTTGGCCTGAAATGATTGCGCGCTTTTGTTTTTTTTTTCTTGAGAACCTCAATAAAAATGATTAAAGAAAGACTGATAAACCTAAATTTTGATTGACTAAAAAACCGAGGAATTGGAGTAATTTTTGATTGACAAAAAAAAACTTTTTACTTATTCAGCCCAAATGTCCAAGCTTTTTGTACTTGCAACTTTGTACTAATCAATGTAAAAATACATAGCAAAACAATGATCACACTGATTCGTTTTACTGGTACAAATTCGATCGTTTTAAAATTTTAGCTGATTTCTAACGAGGCCGATTTCTGAGCACATGTTTACCATTTCTTTATTTAGCTACTTCCTGCGTTTTTTCTCGTCTGGGTAAATCTACTCTGCAGGTTATTTTTGTCGAAGATGAATAGTTTAAAGAAAAAAAAATAATATTTTTGGCTAATTCGGCTCAATTGTAAGGCGACGTACATTGGAAACAAAACATTCTGAAATGGCGTCAAAAATTGATTGCCTTATTTTAGCCCAATAAAACTGAAGCGAAATAGTTTCACTTCAAGTTGTTGAAATATTGATGCTTAGGCGGAATATGTAAAAAGACCCAAAATCAAAAATGCACCATACCATGAATGTAAAAAATTTAAGCAAGACTGGTCTTCATTATTTTTAGTGAGATTGGTTCAAATTTTAAGTAAGGCTGGTTTTCTTTAATTTCAATCAACCCAATTTGAAAAAAAAAACGCTTTTTAAGTTTCAATTTTTATTAGTTTTAACAACATTAGGTTTAGGGGAGGGGGGCAATAGTTAACAAGGTGCAAAAATCGTACATTCTTAAATATTCAATTCTTTCTTTATAGGGGGATATTCGTTACAAGGTTACATGGGGGGGGGGGGTGGTTGGGGGATAATTAACAATACTCCTGGAATCAACTAGTCTGCAAAACTGACCGTTCCATTCGAACAATTTAAGTCTGTCACGACTAAATTATGACAATAATCTCTACGGCAGCGTGTATAGTCTTTCAGAGCAAAAATTTTGGCTGTTTTTCATATCATTAGACTATAAATGAGGTTTAGTTTTGTTGCAGGTTGCACCTCCAACCTGCAACAATGGGCTTTCTGCGACCAAAATTCCATCATCCCGCGAGAGGCTTCAGTCGCACAAAGTCGCAACATAGCTAAATTGGGTCGCGCAAAGTCGCAACATAGCTAATTTGGGTCGCGCAAAGCCGCAACATTGCTAATTTGTGTTGTACAAAGTCGCAACATAGCTATTTTGGGTTGTGCAACGTCGCAACATAGCTAATTTGGGTAGCGCAAAGTCGCAATTTAGCTAATTTGAGGTGCAAAAATTCGCAGCATAGCTAATTTGGTTCGCTCAAAATCGCAACATAGCTAATTTGGTTGCACAAAGTCGTCGCAACATAGCTAATTTTGGGTCGAGCAAAGTCGCCACATAGCTAACTTGGGTCGCGCAAAGTCGCAGCATGGGTCGCGCAAAGTTTTTAACATGCGTCGCGCCAAGCCCCAACATGGGTCGCACAAAGTCGTTACATGGGTCGCGCAAAGTCGCAAAATGGGTCGCGTAAAATTTAAGTAATGGAATTTTTTTCGGATTTTGTACTCGGATGGCCTCAAATTTCTAACGGACGTTGAAATAGCTGTTTTCCAACATTGTTTTGTACAAGTTTGAGACTTGAAAGAGTTGCACAAACAAGAAATGAGCAAAAAAAATCTTCAACCTTCAACCTCCAGTCTTAAAGTGATTAATGGTTTTCAGAACCATGACTAAAAGTAACAAAACTGCTCGTATCAGGGCGAAGCCCCGAAAGTTCCGACTACCTTTAAAGGTCGATGGAGCAGTAAAACATGAAAAAAAGAACTAAATGTAATGAAATGAAAGGAAAAAAATTTGAAATTTGGACTTTTTTTGTGAAAATCATTTCACCACACGCCATTTAAAAACAAAGTGATAAGTTTTGCTCCTTATAACAACTCAATTTTGGCAAATAAGCTTACTTTAACTAATTTGGAACTATTTCTAAGATGAAATAAGTCTCCGCTTAAGCGTTAATAGCGCAAAGTATATCGCGCGCTAATTGTCCTAAATTGGCCTGAATGGCAATCTTTAAACCCCCATAGTATTACGAAAAATGATCACAGGTAAAATATTTATTCAAATTTAAGCTCAGGACAACAATACCGGGGGTCTCAAAAATTTAATTCCCATATCAAATTAAATTGGTTTCGAATGGTGCAAGGAAAAGTTTTTCGTTGCTTGTTCACAGTTGTCATCCTGTGTTTTTATCTTCAAACATCTCATATTCTTCGAAATAATATGCAAATGGTGTCGAAATTCTAATATCATAGGAGTCAGTTATGCGCGATGAAAGCCCCAGTTAACAGCGTGTGAATGTTTAGAATGCCATTCCAATTGTGTAACCGTCCTCAACGCCGTGGGATCGCCATTTGGATCTTGTGCCTCTGATGCAAATGTTGGTTGCTCTTAGTATAGCGAATGAAATTCTACATCTCACCCAGCACATGACATGACTATTTGGGCGGTCCCATTTTGATGCCAGATCATCTGCTAGTCGTTTGAGGAAAAACGTGAACTCCGGTGTCAAAACACCATCTATTGAAGTGACAAGTGGAGTGAAAGTTATGTGCTTTTCTTCACAAGCTGGTCCATACTTATTTTTCTTCTCGATCAACAGGACAACAATACCTGTTGAATGATATGAACAAAAATTCGTCAAAAATGGCTAGTTTAAAAAAAACGAAATTTGTTCAAAGAAAATAAACTACTCCGAGCACATATATTCCCTTCCGTTACTTTCGTTACGAAATTCGGAACAAAAAAAATTTAAGCAAAATAGGCTCAAACATCTCGTTTTTTACGTTCTGTATTTTTTACTCGTAAAGGTCTAGATTTTCGCGGCCTAAATGAGAAAATTTAGATGATTCAATCAATTTTTATCAATATGTTACTGAAGAGAATTTTTACGTGCTCACTTACTTAGAAAATATTGAAAAAAATAACCCAACAAATTTTCAATATTTTTCATTCATTAATGAACTATAATCAATTATAAATTGTAAGTATTAAGTCAATAAGGAATAAAAACAAAATTGCGAACTTTAAATTAAATCTTTTTTCAATTTCCGAATAACGAAATTTATTGCTTCTTCTCCCGTCACCGAAATCCATTTTTGTCATTTCAGCTTGAATTTTTTTGTAGCTGTTTATCAAGTCTTTGCTAATAAATTTCAGAATATTTTTTGTTTTGCAGCAGGTGCCAACGTCTCATTTCTTGATTTTGATTTTATCGAAGGCTTTGCAATTTAAGTCTGTTTATCTAAACTGCAATAAATCAGCGTCTGTTCAATTAGGAGATGGCAGCAGCTTACTTCCAACTTTTTTCGTAATCTGTATCTTTTTCAATACCGTAGCCATTCTCTTCCGTATTGCAATAGGGGGTTTTTTATGTAAGTATGTACATAAACTTAATCGTTCAAACATTCCCGGAGTAATTTTCTCAGTAAATTTCTCTGACTGAAAATGATTACAAAGTGATGTAAATTAAATGTCAGGCGCAATTATGGAAATTTAAAAGATGGATGACTCAAAATCACTCACTTCACGCCAATGCCACTTTGGCAAAAACAACAATGTATTCGTTAGGGGACAATAAACATCCCCGGTTTTTGT